AGGCGTCCCCCGCGCTGCCGCCGCAGCTCCCGGGCTTCAGCTCCAGGCCCCGCGACTGCACGTAGCTGAGGAAGCCGTTGAGCGGCGGGGCTCCGGGGGGCGCCGAGGCGGGGGCGGAGGACGAGGAGGCGGCGGCGGCCGCCGCAGCCGCTGCAGCCGCCAGGTCTTTGGCGCGGAGGCTGTGCACGTCGATGACGGTGGAGTAGAGGTCCCGCAGGTTGATGATCTTGGTCTTCTTGTCTCGGTTCTCGTGGAGCACCGCGTTGGCGCAGATGAAGAGGAAGATGCCGATGCCCATGATGAGGGGCCCGAAGACCTTGAGTTTGTCAGAGTGCAGGTATCCGGAGAAGATGCGGAAGAAGAAACCCACAGACGTGGAAGAGGACGAAGGGCCGGCGGGCCGCGCTGGAGGTGTGCTCCGGGGCGCGCCCATCAAACTAGAGTTGACACCCCCCGGAGTCCCCAGGTGGCTCCTGGACCGGTTTTTGCTGCCACTGCCGCCGCTATTGGCCGTGGTCGGGACGCGGTGGCCGCTGCCTGCGGCCGGCAGCTGCTTACCCCCTTCCCTGTTGGTCCCGTTGGCCTTGGGCCAGTAGCCCACCACCGCCATGGCTATGCCCACCAGCAGCACCAGGATCCCGCAGAGGGCAATGAGCCCCGAGATGGAGCACAGCTTTAGCTTGCCTTTCACCACCACTACATCGTTCTTGCGCCTTTTCTTGGCTTTCCGCTTGCGCTTGGGGACCTGGGTTGGGGGGCGGAGGGGATCCTGCTTTCTGGCGGAAATCCTCAGGAGGCCACCGGTGGCGATCATGGTGAGCCGGTGCCGTGCGGGGCTAGTCTCTGTGGCAGAGGCTTGTGTAAGTGGGGGCGCCGGCTGCCCACTAGCTGCTCCGCCACCTCCTCCTGCTGCAAAGCAGAGGAAGACAGTCAGAGGGTACAGGCTTGGCTGCAGCAACATCCCACGCTTCCAGGTCCCACCACATGTGTACCCCCCACCCCGGGGCTACCCACTAAGCGAGGTGCCACCGGATGTAGGGGCCAGGGGGTGGGGTAGATGGATTAGGGCTTGAGAAACGCTGTTGCAGTCATTGATAGGTGATAAAACAATTTGAGAGAACGCCTTCTCCCCCCGCCCCAACCCCCTTCCCACACACTCTGTAGGTGATATTCCAGCATCGCTCATTTCAAACCTTCCCAGCTGGCAGCTGAAGGAGTGCTGACCGTTAGTAGGAACCAAATGTGGGGACTCAAAGTGGTGGTTGAGGATTTCCCTGGCAAAAGCCTTTCCCTTTGTCCTATGGGAATCAGAAGATTGCCCAAGGGAGCTGTACAGGAGGTTCAAGTCTCTAAGCAGAGGAATTTGTCAATGTTTAGTCACTAAAACAGTCACAAAAGTTACTATTTTATAAAGACAAAAGCAATTTTCATCACTGGATGAAAAATAAAGGTCACATACTGGCAGGCAGACGGCTTATTTACTGCAGAAAATTAATAGGGAGTTCATTTCGGGGAGAACACCAGAACTACGTCAGTCTTCTGACAATAAATCCCTTCACAAAGTTGTCTCTGACCTATTACTGTCCCTGCAGCTAAAGGCAAGCAGCATTTTCCTCATCTCTTCTTGCAACATCTGGACAGCTTCTTGGGGTGGAATATTTAGTTTTAGGTAACTGGTTATGTAACTGAGCTCTTCCTTCTGGCCTCCTCTCCTCCCTCAGAGGAACTCCCTTAAAGGTATCCTGCTAAATCTCATCAGGGACTTTGAGAAGTCCCCTAGAATCTCTAGGAGAAAGATTTTTTTTTTTCCTACTGTGGGAAAATTACAATCTTAAAAAGAAAAAAAAAAAGACCAACCACTCTGCCATAATAGCTTTCTGACCCCTTATTAATGTGCCAACAGCACTGTTCAGAATCCTAATATTCAAATGAGAAGGCAATTAACTAGGTATAGCAGTCCACATAATAATGATGATTTGTAGAATGACATCTCCCCTAAGTGAGAGCTTGTTTTCTTCATCTTTCTCTCATGAGGTCATTTTTAAGAAGGGAAGGTGGCAACAATCAATGCACTATCCTATAGGAAGTTTAGTAGTTTATAATAAAGCCTGGTAGGTAAATGCACAGATGTGTCTTTGTGGATATCTGTGAGCTTCTAAAAATTTCAATCCTCCTGGATCCCCAGAGTAAAACATTTTCTGTTCCATTGGTTGTGTTCCCTCCTATAATAGAGATGCTAAAATTAAGGGCATTGTATGAATTTGAAAGGTTCAGATATCACTCAGAAGCCTTTTGGTATTTTATCCTTTATGAAATAATTCATGTTTTAGAATAAATTACCCTTTGAAAATGTGGGATTACTTAGGAAGAATTTTGCTTTTAATTGGTGCCTGGGTAAAGAGCTTTGGCCCTTGATCCCCTCCATTATATCAATACAGGCAGAATCTTTTCTCCACTGGTGGAAAAGCAGTGGAAAAGCAAACCGTAATCAGCTCTTTACAATGTTTGCAAATCAATGTCTCCTTGGAACTTAGTTGGTTTTCAGTAGAGAGAAATACTAGGTAGGTTAGAGAGGAGTTAGTAGAGAGAATACATCTAGAAGCCTTTAAAATTTTGTTTTAAGAAGAGGCTGCACCAGTAAGTACAAACAGATTGTAAAAAAAAAAAAAAAAAAGAGTAGCTACTGTTCATCTGTCACCCCCCAAAATAAGCACATTTATTGTGTAGTTGTAACATAGACACTGCTGTTTTAAGTGATCCCTAGACTGCAGCATCTTTAATGCAATAATCTGGAGATCTGCAGTTATTTTAAGGATTCAGGATCCAGACATTTTAGAAAGAAACCCAGACTCAGTTGGCAGGGTGGCTCTCCCAGAAGAGAGAAGGGCTAACATTTTGTTGGGCACTGATAAGGTGCTCCACGATGCCGAGCATCTTTGGGAAAGAAGGTACCCACATGCATTTCTCCTTAGTAAGGCAGCTTTGGCTCTTGGCAGACAGAATGTAAGGAAAATTGGAATGGATTTCAACAATCGTTTACAGATCTTTAAAATTAGTTTAATAGCTAGTAATTAACTCCCTAGTTTATTATTCCTTCAGCTCCCTTGAAGGCTGAACTCCTTTATAATGTATTGCCATCTGACGTGAAATACTGACAAAAGTCAGATGGTAAGGAAGACCCACCTTCGAGGCTTTTCTTCATACATAATGAAGGGAAACAAACTTAGCAGTCGAGGTTGGCTGACCTCGCAATTTACTGCCTGATTCTGGTCTTTCCGCGGTTAAGGAATGGAGGATGGGGAAGCAAAGGAGGGATGTCTAAAAATACAACTGCTTCCAAGAGAGACATTCAAGTTCTCGGCTCAAGATGGATTAAGCCCCTCTCGGCGTCTGAGGCTCCCAGCCCATAGGCTGGGAGCGCCCTGCCCTGCCGGGGCTCAATCCAGATCCTCGACCCGCACTCCCTAATGGGCAGGACAGCGAACCCCTTGCCCTGCTATTTGGTCTGCTTATTTATGTTGGAGTCACATGAGTGCAGCCGCTGGGAGTCCACCTCTAGAAAGAACACAGGCAGGAGCGAAGTGAGGGCAATCCTGAGCTCGCTTTTTCTGGGCAGCGCATCCCGTGCAGCCCGCCCAGGAAAACGACTCTCCCGGAACAGCAGCCCGGGGCACCGGGGCTCCGGGCCGCAGGGGTGGGGAAGGGCAGCTCGGGGGCCGAGGGACTCACAGAATTGCTCAAAATGGCAGCACTATAACCAAACAATATCGCTCACTTACCCGGGAAGGCTGGGGCAGCTCCGGGCCGGCGAACGGGCGCTCGGGCGACACAAAGGAACCATGGAGAAACTTTTTCAGCCCGAGCCGACGGCGAGGCGCAGATACAGAGCCTCGGGGCCCACCAGCCGAGCGCGGCTCAGCAGCCCAGCGGGGGCGAGCGCCCGCCCCAGGTTCGCAGCCCCCTCCGCTGCCGTGGCGGGAGCCATTTCCAAGAGTTTCCAAGAAGTGTCAGGTCTTCCGCAGCCCGCATCCTGCCTCGGAGCCGTCCTCCCCCCCCGCCGCTCCTCCTGCGCCTCCCCGCGAGCCCTGCCGCGGCGCTCCCGGGCGGGCCCCAGCGCCTCTTTTGTGTGGCTGCGGCGCGCCGGGCTCCGCCGAGTGGAGTTGAGCTCGCGGCGGCGGCGGCGGCGGCGGCGGCGGCTGGCGCGGCTCTGGGCGGCCGGACTCGCGGCTGTTGCTAAGAGACTGGAGCCATGACACAGGGAAATTGCGGCAGGATGGCAGTCGGTACCCGGCCCGACTCTGCTGCTCGGGGGCCCACCCGCCCCCCGCCTCCTCCCAGGCACTGCTCCACCCCCCCCCCCCCCCCCCCCCCCGGCCCCCCCCCCCCCCCCCCCCCGACTCCGCGCCGGCCTCCCCGCGCTCCCCCCACTTCCTCCGCAGCCCGCCGCCGGTGCCTTCGGGGGGAACCGCTTCCCAGAGGACCAGGAGGCGCGAGGGGAGGCGGAGTGTGGCGGAGCGGGGTGGGGGGGTGGGGGGTGAAGACCGCGAGGGGCGCGAGGTGAGGGGCGTGGGGCGGGGGACGCCGGCGGGGAGCGCTGGGAGCGCGCCACCTCGGCCTCTGCCTTCCCCGCCCCCGGGGCGCCCCGGACCACCGCCCGCCTTGGCTGGGAGCTTTGTTCTTTTCCCTCCAACTAACTACCTGTCTGAGCAGCGGGCCGGAGGGCGCCCAAAGGAAGGGCCGTCACTCCCGGAGGGTCTCTTCGCCAGCGTCCGAAGGGCGCTCTGGGGCGCGAGAGGGGGTTAGTGTCCGCGTCTCCCGCCCTCCCGCCCTCCTTTCCTCCCTCTTCCCTCTCCTCTTTTGTTGCCTCCACTCTCGGACACGACAGCCTGGGCTGTTTCTCCCCCTCCCACTTGGGAGTTTGCGGTGTGGACGTACAGCGAGCACAGTAAGTTGTCCCCCAGCGAACTCGGGCCGGCTGAGTGGAGGCGCCCCCGCCGCGCTGAGCGCACCGCGGGCCCCGGGGCAGCCAGTGTGTGATGCCCTCGCGCCCCAGCGGAGCCGGGCTTTGTGACCGGCCTCCTCGGGACCGCCGCGTCTCCCCGGCACTCGGGGCAGCTGGGGCTCAGCGGAGATTAGAATCGGTTCCGGGGCGCTTCCTTGGGCAGCCCCTCTTGCTCCCACCCCGTGCGGTAATCAGCAAGCATTAAAAGGAAAAGTATAATTCTCCGGGAATCGGGTTAGGATCAAAGACGGGGAGGTGGGGGTAGGGAGGATGTCCAAAGTCCCTACGTCATTTTAAAAATGCGAGAGGTAGAGAGAGAGAGATAGCCTGTTTCCTAGCTCATCCCTGTCCTCTCAACTGTAAAGTAAAAATGACAGGGAAAAGAGAATTTCAAAGTGGAATTTCCCCACGGAGTATTGAGAAAGTAAGAAAGATTTTAATTATCTACTGAAGTGAGGCAGCCAGGATTCAGGAAGAAAGCAAGAGAAGAGCAGACGAAACAAGCGCTGTCTGAACTTTGGGGTGCAGACAGAAATCTTATGATGGTGGGGTGGAGTGGGTGTTGTCTATGCTGAGTTTTGCTGTTTAAGGATCCACAGAATCCCCACAGGAGGGCTTTGCTGGCCACAGTTCCAGTTACAAGATTGTTCCTCCCTAACACACACATCCTTCACTTGTGTTTAAAGCTCAAGCATACACTTTTCAAAAAGAACAATAAGGACACAAACATTTACAGATGCAGTGATATAAATGTGGGCCATGTTATATGAGGTGGGGTTGGAGATGGTGGGGAGATGGGAGGGGATGAAGGAGAAATGTTTCCTAAAAGGAAACTCTGCACCTGCCTGTTTGCAAAGTGACCCCTGTCACCCTTTTCAAGCAAATAGTGAATCTGGGTGATGATCAGGGTGTTCAGAACCCACCTCTTTCCACTTCTCTATTCCTGCTCAGATTATGAATGCTAGAAAACAAGCCATTTAAAGGGAAAGTTTTAAATTCCACATCAGATTATTTCCTTTTAGAGAAATCACTGCAAAGGAGAAATAACTAGGTCTAGCTGTCATCTGTAAAGGTTTTTGGCTCCAAACTTCCAGATTTCTTGAATCTCAATAATAATCTGGTGTTTTGTACAGAGACCGGATCTGAGATCTCATTTCTTTACACAGCTGGCTGCCAGGGGCCATGGGTGGTACCTCCTCTCCTTTGTGGGCCTCTGTTTGCCAATCTGTATAAAGAGAATAATATTGCAGAACTTCATTAGGATTTTAGAGGGATTAAGTCATTAACAGTTTCTAATTTCTGCATAAATTATATTCATTGTTTGCACATTTAAAACTCACTTGAGGGATCTGGAGAAGAAAAGAATCCTTTTCTAGATAAACAGGGCTTGGACATAGCTAGTTTTTTTGTTTTTTGTTTTTTTGATGTTGATGACTACAATAAGATTTATGGTTTATTACTTAGAGGCTTCCTTCCAAACTGAGCTCTTTGGAACTCTGAGCTGTTCTATTTAACCTGAGTGTTACCACCTTCAGTAATTTTCTCTGTTTTTAGCTCAGGGTATCAGAGGAAATCAGACAGATCCCATCTGTTTCCAGAGGAGTCCTTTATCCTCTCTGTAATAATAGAGTATCAACATACATTCCTAGGGGTTTCTGAGTTACGTAGAGTTATTTTATTTGCCCCCCCCCCCGAGTTATTTTCCTTCTGATTCCACTGGCCATTTCAGTTGGGATGATTTCTGGGATTGTGGGATACTAAGTCCCTGCTAAGGACCAAAGGGCTAAGACTACCTAATCGTGATCATTCATTAGTGTCTCAAGAACTTGGAGCTCAGGACAACATTTGGAACATGTTGTAGTCAGAGAGCAATGAAGGCTTGGGGAAAAAAAAGAAGAGGAAAAAGATGAGCTTCATTTAGTTGGATTAAACTGTGACCTGAAACCTTTCATTTGCTCTTTCTTAAAAACAATCCTTATGTAATTTTTTTCAGTTTCATAAATTATTCACAACTCATTTGCTTCCCCTGATCATTTCATCAATGTGGCCTGGCTCCCCGGCCTGGGCTCCCAGCACTGCCGAGGGGGAGCCGCTGGCCGGCCATGGGTCCACTGAGACCCCTCTGGGTCTCCAGGAGCCTGCAGGTGGAAAGGGTTGGCTTACCTCAACAGTTCAGCAATGCCAACCTCTCTGCAAGCCCCACTGTCACAGATTGCTTGGGCTACAGAACCAGAGGTAGTTTAGTTTAGTGGGTTCTGGAACCCAGTTTGTATCCTCCACTAACTAACTACTTCATTTAAGTAAGTAAATGACTTAATCTTGCCTGCCTCAGTTTCCTCATCTGTAATTGGGACAATGACACTAATCCCTACCTCATGGCATTCTTGTGAGGATAAACAAAGTTCCTGTAAATTAATGCCTAGCACGCGGTAAAGGCTCATTAAATTTAGCTTTCAACCTTGTTAGTCTTAAGATCCTCTCCCAGCTTGTTTTCATCACTCTCCCATCCTATTCCTATTCATCAGGATCCACTTGGGACCGTACTCGCACTTAATCTCTCTGGAATGGGGTTATGGAATCAGCTGCTGTGATTGAACTTTGCTGCCGGTCCGCGTGGTGGAGGCCCGGTGCCACTCACCAAAGCCCACTGTCCAGGAGGATGAAAACACCCTCCCCATCGCTGCTTTCCTCACTGTGCAGTTGGCCAGGGCCCTTTCATCTCACTCTGCTGGAGAACCCCGCTATCAAACTCGTCACTCTGCAGTCAAATTTGAAAGTCTGTGAAAACGCAATCAAGAGAACATCCTTCAGCCTGAAGGTTTGAGGCTCTCCCAGAAAGGACTCTGAAGCCATTTTTTCGACAACAGAAGAAGGAACCTGTTTATCCCAAGGTTGAACACAGGACATAAAATTCCTCCTTTCCTCGTGGCTTCATACCCTGCCAGGAAGAAGCAACATGACAGGAAAAAGCATGACCAAAAAAAGCAATAAACTAGGCAATAGATTTCGCAAATAAAAACATTGCATGGGACATAAACCCAAAAACGATTTGTTGTTGATCTGAAATTCAGATGTAACTGGGCCTCCTGTCTTACCTGCAACTCCAACACAACATCCCTTGGTAGCCTCACAGATGTTTCCATGGCACATGTGAAGGAGGAAAGAGCCTGAAAGAAAATGTGAGCTGCAACAGTACATTAAAGCCTCACCAGATTTCCTTTGGAACAGGAGAGGCAGAAAAACATCGAGCAGAGCCTGGATGGATCAAGAGCACTTGGAAGTGTAAGGGCAGCTTTTCCACAGCCAGGCTGCTCTTGGCCTGGGGTTTTCTCACAGTTCGAGATTCCACGGTTCCTGTTTCTAGCCCTTGCGCATGGAAACCCGCCCTGCCAGAGGGACGGGCGCTTGCCTCCCCATCCACTCCCTGGAGGCCCACAGGTGAACCTCTGAGACACAGAACTCAGCAGCACTTTCAAGAACTTCAGTTTGGAAACAGGGTAAACTCATGCTAGCGTCAAGGTCATGATCAAGCCTGTTTCTTGTGTTTCTGAAAGGTGTCAAAGAGTTCAAGCCCAAAAGCTATCACTACACAGGAAAGAAAATGATGAAAAGTCTACAGAGCATTCAGTAGAACCCATCAGATGGGGGACTCTCCCTCCGTCCCGGATAGGTGGCCATGTGGCAAGAGCAGCCTACACTCTGCCTTCAGCCTCGATCATTCTTAACATTACAGATCACCAGGCTCTTGATTAGAGACCAACTGGGGTTGTTTTCTCTAATAACTGGGTTCATTTTTGTACATTCCATTTTCCCCTACAGCCTGCATTTTCTACCATTTTCCATGTACACTATCAAAGCTAGAGTGTGTGTCTTATAAAATAATTGAGGTCGGAGATGAGAAACTGGGGTGTGTTGGCAGGCCTGAGAGCAGATCAAAGATGAGCTAGGAAAGGGCTTTGCAGAGGGGGCTCCATCCGTGGAATAGCCAAGGACAGCTGATGGCTAAATTTGCCCTACGTTCCCCAAAGTTATCCTAAATGTCC